TTCGGCCCGTCTGGGACCGTCTTGGGGCCGTCTTGGCACGTCTTGGGGCCCTCTTCGGGGTCTCTGGGGCGATCTTGGGGCGATCTTGGGGGCTTTTAGGCTCGCCGTGGACGCTCAGAGTCCCCAAAGTTGCACATGCTCAGAGGAGGGATTTCAGGGAGATTTTTACCAGGCCCAGGCGAATCCTACCAGGCACTTTGTCAGAGTGGTCTCGCACGGCCCAACCCGCAGGGCGGGAACGGCCGGATCTAAAGGCTGCCGCCTCTGCCGCCGACCCCAGAACGTCCATCGAGGCTTGTTCGCCTCATGTATGCGTTCGAACCAGTTGTTGCCTGTCCATTTCTTCTGTGTGTGGACGAAACCGATGAGGTGCAGGGTGGGTGGCCCATGAGAACCTGTGCAGTTGCCGATGACGGCGCAGTGATCGCGCGCGTATCTCTGGCAAGTTGCGCCCGCTGCTCTGCGCGTGCACAGGGAGTTTGCCGCGTTCTCCGGTCTGCGCCTGAACGTGGCGAAGACTGCCGTCGCCCCGCTGCGTGAAACTTCAGCGCGCCAGTTTCGACGCACGGCGCAGGGCGCGCTGCCGGAATGGGCAGGAGCGGAGTTTGCAAAGCACGCCGCGCACTTGGGCTTCAAAGCAGGCCCTGCGAGGTGCGAGGCCGAATGGATTGAAGCGGTGGCGAAGTATTCGAAAAGAGTTCGTCTGTGGTCAGAGCTCGGGCTCGGTCTGCAAATTAACGCTCGCGTCTGCAATGCTTCCGTGACCCCCGTGCTTTCATGCTTGTGGCCGTTCTGCGGGATCCCGCGGGAAGTGGCAACAGCTGTAGTCGCGGCGCATTCGGATTTCGCGTCCGGGCCTGGCGCGTGGCGCACGGCAGCAGATTTATATTTTTCAAAGTCGCTGATACCATGTCCAGTTGAATTCCAATGTCTCTCGGACTGCGCATGGGCCGCCAAGCTCCGCGCGGCTGGCGCGGCGATGCAGGATGGCGCTGCCTCGGCTGAGCAATTTGCCTTGGTTCGCTGGGGCGCGCAGTTCCCAGCGCGGGCGGACGCGTGGTCGAAATGGTATTCTGCCCATTTCCCCACGCTGGTTCGCCGGGCCGTTTGCCGCGCGACCTCCAGTGGCCTCCAGATGTCCGGTGGTCAGCGGGATCTTTGCGAAGCGATCAGAATGTAACGGTCTAGGTTGAAGAAGGGGGAGCCTCGCTTCCGCCGCAAGCTCGCCAGGAGGCCCCTCCCCATTCCAGTCGGCCGCCTCGGGCGCTAAGCGCCGAATAGTTTCGAGAGGCTGAGCCGGTCAGCGCCGCCGCGAGTTGTGGCCGCTGTGTGGAAGACGCAGTGGAATGGCGGGTGCACGGCGCGCCGATTCCAGAATGTGGGGCGGTGCTATTTGGGGCGCTCCTGCTCTTGCGCGAGATTGCATTGAACATTGCGCTCTGGTGGCGAGACTCACATGTAGATTTCTCGGGCTTCGGGATGTCGGCTTAGCGAGTTTTCTGTGCCTCGCCACTTATGCAGTGTTCAGGGCAACCAGCTATTTCAGTTGCAAACCGACGCCCGATTTCCAGAAGTGTGCCGACGCACTGGAACAGGTGCAAAATAGGTGCGACAGGCCATCCCAGTTTGACCCGAGCATTCGACAGAAGGTGGCTGCGCCCCAGTGTGGCTCGCTGACGCGATGTGAGTTGTTTCAGCACTTCTTGGCTCCTTTCTCGCTCCCTGTCCTTCCTCCGCCTTCCCCTCTTCGCCCTCGTCGTGCTGGTCGTCTGTCGCGTCTCTCCCTCCTTCTCCGTGTCCGCTCTCTCTGGGTCCGGCGCGTGGCGTGGATCGTCCTGCTCGGGTCGCGCGCGTTGGTGTGTGCTTGGGGCTCGTGCCCTTCTCGCCCCTTCCATCCCTTTTGCCCCCCATCCGTCGTCCGCTGCTGCTGCGCTCCTCTCTTTTTTTCTCCCCCCCTACCCCCTCCTCTCCTCTCCCTCTCTTAGCCCCCTCTTATCTTCTCACCAGTGGAGCCGATGCGTTTCGAGGGATGTCGTACAGCACCAGCTCTGCGTCCTCAACGGGCCGTTTCTCTTCCAACATGCATCTATGATTGGCCAGGAGGAACAAAATTAATGATATTGATACTATGCTTAGTGATAAGATTAACAATATGTTTGGCATTGTTGTTGTTGTTGTTGTTGTTGTTGTTGTTGTTGTTGTGAATAATTCAAGTTCGACTGGTATAGATATTATAAAGCCACTGATACTAGCAGAAGCCATAATAACAATCGTGCTGTTTTTAGTACGTACAAGCGTAATGCCAATAATATCGCTTCACATGGTAATACAATGCTAGTAATGTTAGTCGTACTTAAACTAGTCGTGCTTAAACTAGTATTGATGCGAATCGTGATGCTAGTCATCCATGCAAATAGTACGGATGATAATATAGTACGGGTATTCTAATAGTTTCATAATATGAATGAGACAAAGAAGGAGGAAGAGGAGGAGGAGGAGGAAGAGAGGGAGGAAGAGGAAGAGGATGAGGAGGTGGAGGAGGTGGAGGAGGAGGAGGGGGAGATGATGATGCTGCTGCTGCTGATGATGATGATGATGATGATGATGATGATGATGCTTCTGCTGCTGCTGCTGATGATGATGCTGATGATGGTGATGGTGATGATGATGAGGAGGAGGAGGAGGACAAGGAGGAGGAGGACGGGGAGGAGGAGGAGGAAAAGAAAGGGGAGGAGGACAAGGAAGAGGATGAGGAGGAGGCGGAGGGAAAGGCTTTGTGCGGGCTCCCACGTAGTCAAATATCGAATGGCCTCCAGTCCATCCTGCCACCGTGTTTGGGCTGTGGGTTTGGGGCTGCAGGGTCGCTTCTTGAAGCTCTCTTCCCATTTTTTTTTTTTTACATATTGGTCCGTCTGGAGGACATCTCGGGCGTCGTGTGGAACGATCTTTCAGCGACTCGGGGCCTTCTTGGACCGTCTCAGGTGCGTCTTGGGACCCTCTTGGGTCGTTTTGGGGCCCTCTATCCCCCAATGTTGCGTTTTCCCCAGGCCCTCTTGGGTCGTGTTGGGGCGGGTACAATTCCCCGTTTGGGTGTTCTGGGGGTCGGGTAGCCGGGGGGGAGACCACTTCACGCCTGGAGACCCATTAGGAGTCAGCGTATCATCCATGGCTCCCGATGGCACTGCTCTGACTGTACGTGCCCCCTTTCTCTCACCTCCTCTTCCCCCGTCCCATCCCAGCCCGTTTGCCCCCTCCCTTGTGCAATATCAGCTGTTGCCTCGTCGGCTCAGGTTGCCAACAAAGGGGACGAGGTGCAGCTCTCGACCCTCTACGCGCACCTCGAGGAGAGCGCCGAGCGTGCATTTGCGTTTTGGTCCAGAAGGAGAGAGAAAACGAGAAAGATAATGAAAGAGAGAGAGAGAGAGAGAGAGAAATAGAGACTAAAACAAGTGAAATAAAAAACGAGGGAATACAGAGACGCCGACATTGGACGCGCGGGTCCAATCTCCGCGGCTATGAGCGCCGCGCGCGGCTCCGCTCCTCTTCAAGGCCAGGGGCAAAAATCGTGATGACAAGGGCCCGATGCGCTCTTGGCGTGTGACCGGCGGGGGGGCGCACGACTGAAATCAGATGCTGCAGGCGGCCACAGTGCAGCTCAACTGTGCGGCGAGCGCTCGGGGTGCAAGCCGCGCCCCCTGGAAGTGCGCTTGGCGAGCAGCTCATTTTTGGGCGGGCAGCTCCGCCGAGGGCGAGCGGGACCGCATCTGAGTTTGATGGTGAAGCGGGAGCGTGGTCGCGGCTGCGGCCGACGCGCCATCAGCGCGGAGGAGGAGGAGGAGGACGGGGAGGAGGAGGAGGAGGAGGACCAGTGTAAACCCAACAGGCATCAACGATGTTGGAATAAACCTTCCCTCCAAGCTCCCCCTTGATAGGCCTTACAACGGTTCATTTCCACAGGGAACTGCTTCGTTGGAAAACACCCGTTTGAGGATCCTGAAGCGTGCCACAACGTTATTATCGGGCTTCCGACGCCGCGAGTCAATCTGATTGTTGCGTCTTTACGATCCTGAATCGTGCCAAAACGCCGTTCCTGGGACTCCAACGCCGCGAATCAAAGTAACTTCTGCACCCTCATAACCCTGAGTAGTTCCAACACAGTTGTTTTTCTCTCCCTGCTCGTTCCCTGCCGCCGCCGCCCGCAGCTACCTAGGCTATGTTGGAGAAGCGTCTATTGCGGGCACAGCGGGCCCGCCGGCGCGCGAGGGTAAAGGCTGGATCGCCGTCGGTGTCGTCGCCGTCCCTCTTCCTTTGTGATGTTTTTTGTGTATACAGTTACTCATCGTGTAGCGGATCACAGAAAGCATGTCTCATATACGCATCATGAGCGATGACACCGATTTGTTCATATCACCTTCATATCCCCTCACATGTCACGTTTGCTGGAAGCCGCATATTATGGCAAATGACTGGTTATCCACCGAAGGCTCTCATGTTGTTTGTATCAGGCACGCAAATGACAACAGCAACTGATGCCCATATTTTTGTTCCATCTGATACCGCACAAGGTCAGCCGATAATTCTGGTAAATCATACTTTTGGTCATGCCACTCCAGGCGTTATCATTATCTTTAAGGGCTTCGCCCCCTGCCGCGGACCCCTGTCTATCACTATGGGCTGTGTCAGAGCTATGCTGGATTTTGTTTGCGCCATTGCGAAACAATGTCGGAACCCCATGCGAAGGCGACTTGTAAGCGGCAGGTTCGGGCTCATGGCGTATAGGTGAAGTCCGCAATGTTATTCTCGAGTTCCTTTTCGCGCCATGCATTGGAACAGCGATTCGGGGTTGCTTGATGCCACGTTGGGCAACGTCGGGCGGCTTTGGATGCCCTTTTGGGATGCCTCTTGGAAGCCTGATGGGGCGGTTTGGCAGCCACTTGGAACCTTCTTTCGCCCTCGCGGGGCTGAAAGCTTAAATCTTTGGTTCGTGGTCCCGCTTTGGACCCTTGTTGTCATTTTTTGAAGTTTTTGGGCCGTTTCGGGTGCCTCCTGAGCTGTCCTGGTGCTCTTTGGGGCAGTCTTGGGGCTCCCCTGGGAATTTGGTTTGGCCGTCATGGGGCATGGCTTCGACGGCGCGAATGCCGCGTAGCTTACTACATGCCATGGCCTCGAAAACGAGCATATGTTGTACTGCGCGAGGGATAATGGCTTCGAAGGCGAGGCTGCGGTGTAATTTACAGAAAGTGTATGTCCCCGGGGACGCGGCTATTTTATGTCTTTCAAGGATTTACGGCTTCGGGGGCGCGATTATTCTATATTTTACAAGGGTGCATGGCTTCGGGGGCGCGAATATTGGGTACGATGCGAAGGTTTCTGGCCTCGAGGGCGCAAGAATTGCGCAAATTACGATGTTGCATGGACTCGGTGCGCGAATATTGTTTGATTTATAAGGGCTTATGGTTTTGACGGCGCGAATAGTTTGTCATTAGCAAGGTTGCATAGCTTCGGAACGCGAGCTTTATGTGATCCGCGAGGGTTTGTGTTTTCAGATGCGCGGGTCTCGCGCAATTTGCCCGGGTGGGGCCTCCGGGGCGCGAACATTATGTATCTTGCGTGGGTTTATGGTTTCGGGGGCGCGAATATTGCGCAATTTACGAAGTTTTATGGCATCTGGGGATGCGAGTATTGCGTAGTATACAAAGGGCTTATGGCCTCGAGGACGCTCGCGCGCTCTGCGGCAATTAACAGTAGGAAGCAGAACGTAGAGCCATCGCACTGGAAGCTGGAAACAGCAACTGGCGCAGGGGGCAGCAAACCTTTGCCGTGCAGCCTGGTGGCTACACGAGGGGGCAGGTCGGCGGATTTCGGTCATTGACGACCTTGTGTTCCAATGAAACGGCGGTTTCGACGCTGGTTCAATGACTGGAAAAGGGAGTGCGATTTGGAGCATGAGCTCCCAGCTAGCACGGGGGACGACGGCGTCATTTCTGAGATTTCGCCCATCAGAGATAAGAAGATGTTGATTGTCTGTCGCACGGACCACGCAATAAATAACACGGGAGATACTCATGAGGCGAAGCGCCCCACAGCACCTCATGACTATGCAATGCATGGTTCCAGTTTGGCAGGAAGGTTGTTTGGCGATCAGCATTGCCCAGGTACGCAAGAGACACATGGCCGGTCCTGTTTCCAATGTTGTCTCGACTTATCGCCATTAGAAGATGCGTTGTTCGATCGCCGCTGGCCGCTAGAATGCGCGCGCGGCCCAGGGGCAGCCGAGGACCTCATTGATTATATTCTAGGGGCCTTTCGTTGAAACTGAATTGCTGGGCCCGAGGGCCGCGATGTTACCCGCCGGCAGAAATTAGATGCCCCGCGGGGGCGAATGGCGCCCAGGGTCTGCGTTTTCGGCCGGCGCGTGGTGATTGTTTTTTTCGTGCGCCAGCATTGCAATCTCAATCGGCTTTGCTTGGGGTGCGTAGACGTGGCGGGGCGCAATTTTAGTCGTCTTGCTTTTCTTGGGCGGCAGCAAAAAGATGCGAAACGCACGTTAGCTAATCGCGAAGACCTGGCCGCGCAAGTTCTCGCGATTCAAACGCAGAACGACGAACCAATCTGGAAGGTTAATAATGAGAAAGAGACCTTTCTACAGGCCGCGCAAGGAAGCCCACGTGGGCCGGCGGGCGGCGTCGGAAGCAGCCGAGCTGTCCCTGATTGAGGCCGACGTGCAATATATGGAGTCGGAAGAGTCTGCGGGCCAAAAGACGTCAGAAGCGGGAAACGCACTGGCGGGGAACATCGCAGCAATGGAACCAGCTTTTGCAAGAGGCGGAGATACGGGGCAAGGAGTTCTCATCGATCGGCGGAGCATGCGATGCCAGAAAGGGCGGTGCAAGCACCTGCTCCGGTTCGCCGCGCTAACGGGGAATCAGCGCCAGTTGTGCAATCGGCGAGCCCTCGGCAGCGCGCCGCCAATCATCGAGCAATGAACGTGAAAGCGGGCGTGAACGCGCATGCCGTCGGCCTTGCCAAGCAGAGAGAGAGGAGAGAGAGAGAGAGAGAGAGAGAGAGAGAGAGAGAGAGAGAGAGAGAGAGAGAGAGAGAGAGAGAGAGAGAGAGAGAGAGAGAGAGAGAGAGAGAGAGAGAGAGAGAGAGAGAGAGAAGAAGAGAAAAAGGAGAGAGACGCACGGTAATTTCATTCTTCTCCAGGAGTTCAAGACGTGAAAGGGGCAAAGTGGTGGGGCGGCGCCGCCTGCGTCGCGGGTAATTTGCGACGCGGGGTGGCGCTGTTAAGATCCCATCTCCCTTGGGGGCCCGAACTCGAACTTGCTTTCCGGGGGGTGGTAGGTCGAGTGGGCTGGCGTTCGAGGCTCGCCCTTTGACGCAGGGAAGTTCGAAGCGTCGGACCCAGGGGAAGGGGCCGCGGCTGCGCGTCGCTGCAGCCTCGGGAGACATGCAAATTCGCCTTCTTTGCTTAAGCGCAAAGAAGGTGAATTGCGTGCAATGTTCCAAACCATGCTGCGACAGTCACATCGACTCCATGACCGAACGACGCGAGCATTTCGCAGGCAATGCATTCGTGACAAGGCGGAAGCCGAAGTGGAAATTACCCAGCAACGCAAGGAGGAGGAACGCTGGCGCTCTCAACAGTGGGAAGAACAGGCGCGCATGGGTAATCTCATTCAACAGCAAAAGGGTATCCATGCGAATCATCGGCAGGAGCGGGAAAATAAGGGAGGGCAAAACAAGCGTGCAAGAACCTGAGTCGGAGAGAATTTCAGTATTTCATGGCAGTCATTGGCGCCCCCCCGATAAGTTGGAGCAACGCTCTCTCGGCGCGCCCCCGCCCCTTCAATTCCTCGAGCCATCCGGAGATGTTCCATCCAAGAAGCTTGGCGCGCCAGGTGGGCCATCTGATCCAGCGCCGAGTGCCCGCAACTCAGTCGGGGGTGGAGGCGGCGGAGGAAGGGGGCCACCTGGCGGTGGTTGAGATGGGGGAGGCGACGGTGAAGATGAGAAAAAAGGGGCATCGTATCATTCTTATTTCGGGGGGCAGACGGGGGGGCCTCGGAAATCAAGGTGATGCCGATCACGAATGCAATGGGGCTTCGGGAATGGAAGCTCCATGCAACGCGCGGGATGTCATCTTCGCCCCCCGATGTAGACGGGGCGGCGCCCTGGGCTGCTCGAGCGATGGGCCCCGACAAAGCCTTGGCGTTCTAAGGCGCTTAGGGATGCGCGAGCGGGTGGATTTGTCGATTGCTTCGGACTGGGCGGAAAAGTTCCCCATGGTGAGGCAGAGGGGGGGCCCCCCGCTGCGGCGGACGCATCTCGTTGCGCAAGCTTCGCAAATTGAGCACGG